ACGGTTCTTACTGCACACTAACATAGGGATGTTAAGACAAGTTGTCTGCAACTGCCAAGATAACAACACTGGCCCAAACTTTGTTAGCCTGCTGTCTTGTGGGACAGTCAGGATTTGTAGTGACTGTTTATGCTTACTACCAGATAATCTTAATGTCTTCAGCTGCCAGTACTTCTGTATGTTCATACTTTTAACTATCTGAAAAATCCAATTAATTTCACTAGCATGACTTAAACAGAGTCTGTGCTTAACTGTTCAGACAATGTCAAAAGCCCTTCCTGATGCTATCTTCTCTGAAATGTATCACTTCCTTTCAGTGTGTCTTATTTGACTCTTTATTTTCCAACAGTCCCTCAGCTTTATTATCCATGTATCTCTTCGGAACGACTGGTGGCAGAGACATGCAAATAGATCATTTAATTTCCCTGCAATGTCTTTATCCTCTTTAATTGTTCCCATTGCACCCTGGTACTCCACTGAGCCTTTTGATTCTCTCACAGCCTGCTTACGCATCTTATAATTAAATAATTTCTTCTTATTTATTTTCATGTTATGCCTTTGGCTAATCTCCCCACGAAATCCCTCAGCTAAATCATCTTCGTTTTTGTTTTACGTTATTGTTCCTTATCACTAGCTTTTCTGTTGGGCTAACTTCCCGTTTTCCAAAGGATATTTGATGAGCCTCTTTTGTGGTACCTTTCCATTCAGCCAAGGCAGATATGCACTCTCCCCCTTTCCTCCTTTTTGTCTTTCTGGGGCTTCTGCAAATCTTTTGTAACTCATTAGTGGCTCACTTCAGTAGGCTTCATGCTGAATCCCTACAGCACCTTACACATTTCCCTTTGTGTAATAGTAATTTATTTCACTTTTTTTTTTGTGTGTTAGAGGGTTAAACTGGTGGGGAGGAGGGTTGGAGGAGGGGAGGCAACATTAAGCAAAGGAACAAAAGAGATGGACTAATAGAAAGTGGTTCTGTGTTCATGCATAGAAAATGATTTGGATGCAAATCAGTCACACAGCTGAATGACTTGTCTCAAAGCCTCAAGATTAGGGAGCAGAGGGCTTAGGCCTCAAGTGGCACTCTGTCTGATTTCTGCCCAGACTCTGCATTCACAAAACAGCATGCCTGCAGACAGTCCACCTGGAGGACTTGTGTGCTGTTTTCATGTCTCCTTGTACTCATCTGAAAAACGTCTTTGTGTTCACTTTGAGTTATTTCCTACATCACGTCTTAAAACTGCAAATACATAGAGGCAGGGAGGGATTTGGGCAGGGGACAGCCAGATTAGTTACTCACTGAGGAAACTGGGTGCCATATCTCCCAGGCAAATAAATTTTACTGCAAATACAGGGAAGTACAGGTGACTAATTGCTTGACAACCTGGTAATTTATGTAGACACTCAAACAAAGATTGGAATTCCTCAGCATAAAGTCTGAGAGGAAAATTTTGTGCTCAGCCAAATGAAATATTTAATTGTGATTTAGAGTTTAAGTGGATTACAGAAGATGCCTTGTATGTACAATTTCTGTACAACCCTACTGTAATCAATAAACAACTTTAAAAAGCATCAGATGTAGCAGGATCATGAATATGAGTTTGAATGTTCTATTAAGAAAACTTCTTCCCACAAATGAAAGATGAAAATTTTTATCACATTGTGGCCCTGTTTTCACACCTTCAGTAATAATAAGTATTCAGTTTATTTTAAGGTTTGCAAATGTGGTGTTACATCAAGCTCCAGATTAGTGTATCTTCCTCAGTCTAGCCAGAAATCCCATCCGTGAATGATGATAAGATTCTGTGTTGATGCCAACAAGAGAGAGTAGCGAAGGCTGGCATGTGTGTGAGGACACTTTTGGAGCCAATGCACACATCTGGGAGCTTCCACAGGACAGTTCTTGTGGAAGGCTGACCTTCATGAGTAGGGATGCTGGGGTAGAGTAGTGTCGGATATACTAAGTAGATATGGTCTAGGGGTTCAATCGCTTATTTCATCACTGAAAGTCTAGTAATTTGATGCTGCTGTTTGAAAGTCATCACCTGTTTCATCTGGGAAGTGGGTAGCGTATTCATATCACTTTTTTTAAAAAATAAATGTAGACTAAAAATAAATATCAGTTGCCAATCCAGTTGGTATGCCTTCACCTTACATTGCTAAGGAAAATATTCCTTCAGTTTGTCTGTTTAACACAGCTTCCCCATACAATTTGGAAAGGTCAATATTGTCCTGTTACTGCAAATGAGGGAGGGGTGGTCTGGTACCCAGCATCAACAAAGTTAAGTATCTTTAAACTTCATGTATTGCAAGTTGCCTTGGCAATTATGCTTCAGAGAAACTTCTAATTTAGGCAGATGCACAGTTCAGAAACAGCTTTTTCAAGGGACCGTGTCTTTAGAGAAAGAAAATACACTTCCACTCAAAACCTGCTGAGAGAAAAGAGAAAGAATAAGAAAACACTTCACCATTTACTTCTAATAGAAATTCATTGTGTGCTGCTGCTGCTGTGGGGTAGACGTATTGATAGTAGGGAAGTTTGTTTTGACTGCACATAGGTTTTTTCTCAGGCAGAATTTGATGCTCTTATCGGCTTAGATGACTTGTTTTAAATTAAAGAAAACAGCAAAAGAGGATTAAATTAAAATCTCCATGGGAGAACATGGTGGGAACATTCCCTATAATAGACCTCAGGCCTCATCAAAATTTGAGAATTATGCACAGGTAAAGGAAACCGCAATAGCAGTATGTTACAATTTCATTTAACAGAAGGTTAATCTATACATTCTGAAGCTTTCCTTTCTTGTTGCTCTTTGAAAGAATCTGTTGTTTGTAAGTCATCTTAATGGGAAGGACAGATGATGAGAGGGCCTGATTCAGCTTACTCAGCTGGAATAAGTGGAATAAGTCATTAAGTGGAATATACAATAAGTCATCAAATTTTCCAACTCGCTTTTGTAAAATATATGAGATGGAAGTAGAGAGCGGCCCAGGCTTCCCAGTACAGATTTTCACATTAAAGAAAACATTTCAACATTTTCTTCTCTGTCACTTGCTATCTCCTTCAGGTCCTCCATGGTTTCTAATTATTCTCTCATAGCTGAGAGAAGCCTTTTAGTCAGCTTATTGGTAGCTGCTAATTAATAAAAAGTTCCCATTTTGAGTGGATGCAGCTATTTCTCATGTTGAATTTGATTTGCAGAAATAAGGCAACAGTCAAACTTTATTGTGCAAAGCCTTGGATCATTCCCTCCACTCAAGCAGGAAGACAGGGAGCTTAGTTGTAACCATACCATTTTTGTTAATATTGGACCAATTTATTTCCTTTTCTGATTTTCCTCTTTATAATAGAAAGAAAAGAAGGGGACAAAGAAACCTCAAACAAAAAACATAGTAAAGTATATCCAAAGGAGTGGGGATTTAAACTGATAGCTGGAATCCATGGCTTCACTAAGGGCAAATCATGCTTGACAAATTTGGTGGCTTTCTATGGTGGGGTTACAGTGTTGATGGATAAGGGAAGAGCAACTGATGTCATCTACCAGGACTTGTGCAAAGCATTTGATACTGTCCCGTATGACATTGTTCACTCTAAACTGGAGAGACGTGGGTTTGATGGGTGGACCACCTAATGTATAAGGAATTGTCTCAATGACTGCACTCAAAGAGTTGCAGTCAACAGCTCAATGTCTGAGTGTAGACCAGTAAAGAGTGATATTCCTCAGTGGTTGGTGTTGGAACCAGTGCTATTTAACATCTTTGTTGGTGACATGGACAGTGGTGTTGAGTGCACCCTCAGCAAATTTGCAGATGACACAAAGCTGTGTGGTGCAATCGAGACACAGTGGAGGGCAGGGCTGCCATCCAGAGGGACCTTGACAGGCTGGAGAGGTGGACCCGTGCAAACCGCATGAAATTTAACAAGGCCAAGTGCAAGGTCCTGCACATGGATCCAGGCAATCCAAAGCACAAATACAGGCTGGTCAAAGAGTGTATTCAGAGCAGTCCTGTGGAGAAGAACTTGGGGTTATTAGTGGATGGAAAACTAACTATGAGCCAGCAATGTGCACTTGGGGCCCAGAAGGACAACTGTGTCCTGGGCTGCATCAAGAGAAGTGTGGCCAGCAGGTCGAGGGAGGAGGATTCTCCCCCTCTACTCTGCTCTCATGAGACCCCACCTGGAGTACTGTGTTCAGCTCTGGGGCCCTCAACATAAGAAGGACACAGACCTGTTGGAGAAGGTCCAGAGGAGGGCCATGTAGATGATTAGAGGTCTGGAGCACCTCCCTTCTGATGACAGGCTGAGAGAGTTGGGGTTATTTGTCCGAGAGAAGAGAAGGCTCCAGGGAGACCTTATAGATGCCTTCCAGTATTTGAAGGGGGCCTACAGGAAAGATGGGGATGGACTCTATCAGAGAATGTAGGGATAGGACAAGGAGTAATGGTTTTAAACTGAAAGAGGGTAGATTTAGATTCGATATTAGGAAGAAATAAATTTCTGTGAGGGTGGTGAGACACTGGCCTGGGGTGCCCAAAGAAGCTGTGGCTGCCCTCTCCCCTGGAAGGATTCCAGGCCAGGTTGAACGGGGCTTTGAGCAACCTGGTCGGGTGGAAGCTGTCCCTGCCCATGGCAGGGGGGTTGGAACTGGAAGATCTATAAGGTCCCTTCTAACCCAAACCTTTCTATGATTTCTCCACAGACAGATATTTTTCCAGCTTAGCTAGTATCTATTGTAAGAAATTCCAGAAAAAACGGAAAAGATTTAATTCAGTGTTTATTTTATTCACCAGTGTGCAGGACTTATCACATCAAGCAGAAGAATGTGAGTTTCAGATTGGAAGCACTTTAATGACACCTCTGAAACAACTCTCTTTTCAGAAGAATTCTACCAGAATAAATCCTCATCCCTTGCTCATGTCCCATCCACTTGCAATTCTATGTATCTTGAGGTTTGAAGATAACCGCAACCATTGATTTTTATTTTTTTCTGCTTTGGCTTTAGGAACTCCTTCATAGATATCCTTCGGGCTATCCTGCTGTCCTTGGAAGTGCTCATCGAAGATCAGGAGCTTCAGATAAATGGCTTCATTCTAATTATAGATTGGAGCAACTTCTCCTTCAAGCAAGCCTCCAAGCTTACGCCATCTATCCTCAAACTGGCTATTGAAGGGTTACAGGTAAGTGGAGGATAATACATGTATGTGCAACTTTTATTGCTGCAAACAGTGATTTTTGCCTCAGCAGGTGCTGGGCAGGGTGAAGGATGGTGGAAGAAAACAATCCAGAACCCTTTAGTGTCCCATCCACTTGCAGCATAGATTGATTTTCAGATGTTTCATTTTGACTGTCTTTCACTTTTATTTCCGCTGTAAATCAGTGTAACCACTATGTGTGTTACTGTAGCATTAAGAAGGACAGTTAGAGATTTGAGGTTTAATCCATCAGAGGATTCAGGGCGATTAAAATCCAGCAGCATCTGCCTTCTGGAGTCTGCAGTCCCCATGCAAGCACATCTGTATGCAGAGAGAGGGTGGAAGGAGAAGTGTGGCAGATGGAAGGGTGCTGTAGTGTTCATGTGGATGCATTTGTATTGGAGGGAAGTAAGGAAGAGGGAGGACAGGCTCCCTGTTGTGTCCTCATTCTGACTTCCTTCATTTGTCACACAGGATCCAGTTACATTGTGGTTCAGACTGTTCACGGGCTGTGCATCCACTTGGTGCTGGTAGATAGACAGGAGCGAGTTAAAACAGTGTGCTGTTGTAGATTTAGGTGGAGAGTGAGGGTAAGGCAGCTGGGGCTTCGTGGGGCAAGCTGAGGATGAGGATGAACTGTGGTGCTCAGAGAGAACTTCAGTCCTTTCTTCTCGAGTGTGAGTCCATTTCTGCTGTCAGACCTGAGATGGAATTTTAGGTTTGAAGTACTCTGACACAACCTTATTAATTGTGGGCATTTGGCAGAATCCAAGGACTATTTAGGTTGGAAGGACCTCTGGAGATCATCATGTCCAACTCCCTGCTCAAAGCAGGGCTGATTTAATCTTAGCCCAGGTTGCTCAAGGACCATAGGTTTCATGTAGCTCCATATTTAAAAGGAGAGATTTTGTAAGTCATTGTTTTTCCATTTTATTTTTTAGTACTTTTCAAGTATCCTGCAGTCATAAATACCTCATGAATAATCTTTCCTGGTGTGCGTGTATCTTAACTTTAACTTATATACTAAAAAGAACAATTTGTTCATCTAATTTTTTGACTAACAAATTGTCTACAATTATATCATGATTATCTCTACTTTATGTTATTATTCAAAAATGAGGTAGAAAAATCCACTAGCAGTTTTAAGCCTGTGTTCTACTTTGTGGGGAGTTTTCATCTATTCTAACAAATTAGAAAGTCAAGCTGTGCAATTAGTCCCTAGGACAATACATTATCTTCTCCTGCTGATACTATCACGTCACCTGCCTTCCTTCACAGAACAACATTCTGTGATTCAAAAAAACCCTCCAGTCAGAAGGAAGTTAAAGCCAAGTGACACTCATAAAGAAATCAAATTCCATCAAGGTGTCCTTGTGCCTGTCCAAAATTTGCACTTCCAGCTCTCTGGTAAGAGGCCAGTCCAACCTTCACCCCATCTGATTTTTGGCCACGACACTGCCAGCTTTTCTGCCTACAGTTTATGTGCAGCTGTTGGCAACAATATGTTGCTGGAAGTACTGAAGCCTGGGAGTACTAAAACTGATTTTATGGTTGTGTCATTGGCCTGACATCCTGTGCTGAGCAATTTAAGGAGGCTGCCTTTCTTGTTGGTGGGTGGGCATTTAATTTCTCATTTAAAGTCAAGTTACTGTTGTCTTCATCATAACTGGAAATAAAACTCTCTCTCTAAACAGTACAAACTGAGATAATGTGCCCTAGACTTTTCTAGCCACTGGCAGGTTTGATGAGTTGTAGGAGTTGTGAATGCTGCACTCCAATTTACCAGGTTTAGAAGCAAATCATTCATGCTTACAAAGCACATATTTAGCAAGCACTGTTGATTGGGGGGTTTTAGAGTTGGGTTTTTTGGGGGGGCTTTCATCATTGCTGTTGAAGTACTTTCATTAAGACATTTTTCTATTATTATTTTAAAAGAACTACCGCTATCCTGATGTAATATTTATGTAAAATGTAATTGAAATTCAGGCAAGACCTACATACAGAAAAAGAAGAGTCACAATATGAGTTGCAGTGGAGGTCACTGAAAGTGAAAAAGCCAGGTTCTACTCTCATGAGATGATGTCTGGAGAACATCAAGATTGTTTTAGTTCCTTGTTATTTCTCACAGCTAAGGCACTGTGCATGTACAGATCCTCAGACAAGCAGGTTACATGGCTATCCCAGTCCTCCCTTCTAAGAAGAGATTTTGGGTCATATTAAGTCCTATATAGGTCTAGTGAATGAGATGGAAGGAAAATAATTCTCTCTTACAATTTCTAGGAGGGTTGAACCCCACTGCGTTCACATGTTGATATCTGAGCCAAGAACTTCCAGCCTCTCTGTCTGTAATATTAATTTTAATGCCATAGCTGAACCATTTTCCCATAGTTTTGTTAAGCTCTCATCTGACTCAGTGTCTCAAATCATGACTATCTGAAATATAAAACTGCTAAAAAATAAACAGTAGTGTATTAATAATTTAAATTTATGCGCTTGGTATTTTTCTCCAGTTAATGGAGGCCAATTAATATATTGGGAGTTAATTTCTTTGCATTTGTTTTCATTTTATTTTTATACTCAAATTGCTGCTGCAGTGAATTATCACTAAGTGAAGAGAACAAATATTGCACAGGTGCATATGTTAATTCATCTTGTGCTATAAGACCAACACTAGTCACACCTACTAGACTTGGCTGCAGAAATTAATATGTTGCTATTATATAGGATGCTCAGTTCCAAATACTGTAAAGTCTGTAAATGCTCGGGGAGAGAAAGCATGAGTTACATCTCTACATGGCTGAAAGCACATTTTGCTTAATACTACTCTTCCTTCTGTTTGGATTTCTGTATATATTGCATCACACAAGATAGTTCATTATAACTCATCAGGGCACATATTCTGTTTCTTAGTTATTTTATTTAATGACCTAAAAGTAGCCTTATGTTTGCACCTTAAACAACAGTTGCTCAGATGCTAAACAATATTTATATAGTATGGCAATTCTCATTATGCCACAGCAGCACAGGGACAAATGTGTTCTTAGTGCCTAAGCCATCTCTGATTAGTGAGCTTTGCTCTTTTATCACAAGGCAATAGCTACTGTATGCTTTGAGCTCATACCGTGCCCCTTCATAGACCTTACTGATCTTATGAGTTTTAACACATTAAAGAGAAGATTGTCAAATGGATGGAAAGGTGGGGAGATGTATATAAAACCAATCTATTTTGCCAATAACTTGATAATTTTTGACTTCTCATCCTTATTCTTTTAATGTGAACAGCTTTTCCCCTTCACAGCATATTTCTCCCCTATGTTCTCTTTGTCTGTGAAGTTATACTTCTCTGTGTGTCACGCTGATACCATAATTATCCTATGATGGTAGACAAAATCTAATTGTGGCTTAAGTTAACCAGAGACTGATCTCTGGTATTTTGCATAACAGTTCAGAAGCATCAGAGTCTAGTGGCAAAGGTAAGAAACCCACACTGCAACTGTGAAGCAGGTAAATCGTGTAAAACCTGGTCACTACAATCCTTCATAATATGCAGTATGTTTGCTACTGACCACTCATTTGAAGACCTCTAATAAACATGGGAATTACAGCTGAAATGTGTGTGTTACAGTGAACATAGCTGGGGTATCCAGTGAAGCCCAGACTTCTGGTTTTATTCTTAATGCTGGTTGGGTTTTTCTCAAAGGACATGGCTAGTTTGTCTCCAGACAGGATTTTTGATTTTAGGGTACTCCTACTAATGAGTCTAGAGAACCACCGCTTGCTTCTGCCTTAGCCAACACCAGAGATATGTACTGCAGCTCGTGTACATGCATGCTTATATCCGTATAGAAATTCCCCCAGCTAGCCCTCTGAGTTGAAATGCAGCAACTTCTCCAACAGGATCCAGAAATATTCCAAAACTTTCAGACTAGCACAAGGTCTGATTCCACCTGCTATTGCTTTGGTGAAAGCAAAGCCAGAAGGCCACTGCCTACCAAGACGCAGATGAGTGGCTTATGGCACAAATCAGCAAGCTGGATTCAAACTTGACCCAAAAATCAGTTTTGCACTACAGCATAACTAGTACTGCCTTACATAAAGGCTAACGTGCCTCAAGGCTGTTACAAGGTACTAAAACAAGTAGAGTGAATGGTTATATCCTGGTGATATACTTTTGTTAGATAATTCTGTAACATGCTGTTGTACTCAGATATGCGAGGACAGTGACTCTTCAAAAAAAGCCCTATGACTACTTTGGGACAATGAAGAATTACTGCAGGATTTATCCTTAGGGTTCCGTAAGGCTTTGATTCAAATTTCACAATCACTGCAGCAAATAGCTGTAACAACAGGGAACAACCAAGATAAGCAAACAGGGATTTGTCCCCAGATTTTCTCTGGTAATAGCCTGACAGAAATTATGACCAACAGTGTCCATTAGGAGATCCATTAAAGTTCTTTTCTTTTTGAAAATTATCTTCAGTTTATCATCATCCAGTAAAAATTGGAAACTGATATTCTGGGAGGAAAGGGAAATGAAAGGAATTCAGTGATGCTTGATTTAGGAATACCTTAATACTGGTACTGATAAAATTCTTCTGACAAAAATCTTCAAATAAGGTGAACATGTATAAGCTTCTCTTAAAAAACTGTTTAAAGTACATTTGTCCAGAATAGCTCTGATACTGATATCAAGTCAGATAATCAAGCTAATATGTTTGTTTAGACATTATTGTAGGTTATCCCACTTCAAAATCTGGAATAAGATACCAGACTAGGGAAAACTCAGCCTGCTTAGAATCATATGAAGCTTTTTGTTCTTTAATATGAGCAATAAATTTAAATAAATTGTTTGGGTTTTTCTTTTTTTTTTTTTTTTTTGAAATTCCCTCCTACTTTAATTATGTGGGATTGAGAAATTTAATATCAGTTAAATTATAGCAACAGATTACTTGTCTCTTGACACTATTTTATACAATCAAATACTT